GACCCAGGAGTCCAGGCCTCCAGACCCCGCACCTCAGACCTGGCATGCCAGAACCCCGTCCTCCCTCAGACCCAGGAGTCCCTTAGCCCAGACCCCGCACCTCAGACAGCACACTGGACCCCCCCCTCAGACCCAGGAGTCCAGCCCCACCGTCCTCCCTTAGCCCCAGACCCCCCACCTCAGACCTGGCATGCCAGACCCCCCTTCCTCCCAGCCCTGAGGTTCATCTGCATGGGTCAGACGCCTCGCTGAGCTCTGTGTTCCTCCAGGCCCAGATGGGGGAACCCCGGGCTGGGGCCCCCCTGGACGATGGCAGCGGCTGGACAGGAAGTGAGGAAGGAAGTGAGGAGGGCACCGGTGGCAGCGAGGGCGCAGGGGGCGATGGGGGCCCTGACGCAGAGGGTGTCTGGAGTCCCGACATTGAGCAGAGCTTCCAGGAGGCCTTGGCCATCTACCCGCCGTGTGGCCGGCGGAAAATCATCCTGTCGGACGAAGGCAAGATGTATGGTGAGTGCGCTGGCCTGCGCTGTGCACCCCCACCACCCCTGTTAGACCCCGTTATAGGAACCCCGTCCTTCAGCTGAAAGCAGGTGCGACCTTGTGGTGACGGGCCGGGGCCTCTGTCGTTGCCCAGATCGGGAGAGGCGAAGCGAGCACCTGAGGTCACAGGGCCGAGCCTGCAGCGGTCACGCCCTCACGCAGCAGAGGACGGGTCACCCCACCCCCGTGCAGCACCCCCACCCAGCCACAGGCTCCCAGGAGCTCTTGTTTCTCCTCTTCCCGTTGTCCTTTGTCTTGGGAAGTTCTGCTGAAGGTCTGACTCCTCGCCATCTTTGCTTCATCAGGTCGGAATGAATTGATTGCTCGCTACATCAAGCTGAGAACTGGCAAGACCCGAACTCGCAAACAGGTCACTGGACAGGGTGGGGCCGCTGTCTGGGGCAGCAAACAGGTCTCCGGACGGGGCGGGGGGCCTCTGTCTGGGCTCACAAACAGGTCACTGGACGGGGCGGGGGGCCTCTGTCTGGGCTCACAAACAGGTCACTGGACGGGGCGGGGGGCCTCTGTCTGGGCTCACAAACAGGTCACCGGACGGGGCGGGGGGCCTCTGTCTGGGCTCACAAACAGGCCTCTGGACTGAGCCAGGCCTCTAGTGGGCCAGGCTTGTCTTCTCTGGGCAGATTCTGCTTCAAGGAGGATCTGACTTGCATTGTGGCTTTTCTTCGCACCATTGTGAGGGTGCTGTCATGGTGCCCGTTTCATTGTAGTTCTGGAACGTGCTTCAGAACTAAAGAGTAAGAAAGAGCCGCCTTGCTGGCCAAGGGGTGAAGTCTCAGCGCCATCACTGCTGGGGCCTGAGTTCGATCCCCAGCCAGGGAGGGACCCCAGGGCGCAGCAGACCCCTCCTGTCTCCTCGCTGCTCCCTCAGCAGTGGGTTTCAGTGGGTCTGCCTGCTCTGTTCCCCACTCTGTGTCTGGGGAATCATGTCACCCCAGGATCTCTGGCCTGTACCCCGGTTCTTGTGTGCAGAAATCAATAAATCTTTTAAGAAAAGAAAAAATAAAGACCCACAGAGTAAGCGAGACTGAAAAGAGGCAAAGAGAGAGGGCCTGGGAAGGAGGAGGCTGGGTCAGCCGGGGCTGGGGCAGGCCAGTGGTGCCACAGGACAGGCCTTTGTGGGAACAGCCCCTGCTGCCGCGACGGCGTGTTCCTGTTCCAGCAGCCCTGGGTGTGCCTGGGCACCTGAGGGGCGGGGGGTACAAAGACCAGTGATGGGGGCCTGACCTGCTTTTCCCCTCCCTCCAGGTCTCTAGTCACATCCAGGTTTTGGCCCGAAGGAAATCGAGGGAAATCCAGTCCAAGCTCAAGGTGAGGCCGGAGGCAGCCACGCAGCAAGAGGACACCCAGAGGGGCAGAGGCCTGGGCCTGGGGCAAGGACGCGGACCACGACGGTCACACAGAGGCAGACGCAACGGGCGAGCAGAGCCCGAAGTGGGGGGCTCCGTGGTGGGCAGACGCCCAGTGGAGGGGCGGGGCCCTGTCACCCGGGTGGGTGAGATTCCGAAGGGCGGGTGAGGCCTGCCTCTGGCTGCCCCCGCCCCCCAGTCTCCTCCACCTGTGCCTCCTTTTCCTCTTCCTGGCGCGTCCTCATGGCTTCCGTTCCGTGCTCCGAGGACGTCTCCTCACCCGTCTGCCCCATCTCCCAGTCCCCTTGTGACCCGCCTCATCTTTCTGTGTCCACAAATCTTCTCCCTTTCGAGCTCTCACATCCGTTTCCCTTTTCCCGTCCTCTGCACTTCCTGTTCCCTCTCCTTCCTTTCTACCTCTCTGGTTATGCGGTTCTTCCCTCTTCTAGATTTGGGGGTCATCATTTCCTGTTCTTTTTCTTATGCAGAAGCCTCCCCTTCCTTTCTCTCTAGGTCTAAACCCCCCATTTCTGCTCTTCTCTGGAGCCCACTGTCCCTAGTCTGTCCTCCCTGGGTTAGGAAATGTCCACTGCCTTTTCCCTCTGGGTCTGAAATTCTCATTTCCTTTGCCTGTGGTTCCGGAAACCTTCACTTCCAGCTCTTTCATGACCTAGAAACCCTCCTTACTGTCTTTTATTCTGGGCCTGGAAACCCCCTTTCCCGTCTGCCCCATCTCCATCTTTCCCCTCCAGACCTGGCCACCTCTGCTTCCTGTCCCATATTCATCCCTTTCTCCCCCTTCCCCCCTTTGCTGGGCTGGGGGGGTGGGCAGGGCTCATGGGGGTAGGAAGGCCCGGGGTCCAGGCCTCATGTCCTAAGTCATGTTCTCTTTCCTCCTTTTACCCACCCCCACCCCCCGGGCAGGCCCTGAATGTGGTAAGTCCCTCTGCCCATCCCCCTCCCACCCTGACCCCAGACCTTTCAGAGGAGGCCAGGAGGGCCAGGGGGGCTATAGCCAGTGGGATCGGGACCTGCCCCCACCCCTTCGCCTTGGCTCCCCAAGTGCACAAACTCATACTCGCCACCGCCCTGCCACTGTCCCACCCTTGCACGTCGCCTGGGACTCCCCGCTAACATGCACCCCCAATTTTCCCTCCAGGACCAAGTTTCCAAAGACAAGGCTTTCCAGACTATGGCCACCATGTCCTCGGCCCAGCTCATCTCGGCACCTTCTCTGCAGGCCAAACTGGGTCCTGCTGGTCCTCAGGTGGCCTGAGTCGGGGTCGCGGGGCTCGGGCTGGAGGGGTGGGCCATGATTTCCATGGGAACTGACTGACCCCTCTTTTCCAGGCCTCTGAGCTCTTCCAGTTTTGGTCAGGGGGCTCTGGGTCCCCATGGAATGTTCCAGAGTGAGTACCATCTGTTTCCCCTCAGGACCTGCTCCCAGTCCTCAGCCCACCTTCTAGTTGCTGCCTCCTGTGGCTTTGAATTACGAGGAGGCTGTGATGGAGCTGAGCACTAGGCCTCAGCGGGGATGGCAAGGAGATGGGGCCAGGGAGAGTCGGGGAGGAGGAGGGACAGGTTGAGAAAGAGGGGAGGCGGGGGCAGTGACAGGGGCCTGTGGGTGTGTGTTCTGGCGGAGGAGCGGTTTTGGGGGCCCCGGGAGCTCAGCGTAGGATCTGATGACTGTCAGGGGCCTTGGACCGCAGGGCCCTGGGATTAGGCGCATCCTAATCCCAGAGAGCTGTTCTTGGGCCCGAGGGTAGCAGAATGTGGCTTGTCCTCTTGCAGAGTCTGAGGGAAGAATATGGGTCCCAGCGCTCCACAGGGGCTGTCCTTTCAGATTCCAAAGTGCCCCCAGGCTGACACGTTGTGTTTCTAGCCTGGAAGATAGAAACAGGCCCCAGAGGCTCATGGAAATTGTAGTTTCCAGTCCAGAGAGGAGCTGATGGACATAGGCTGGCTGTCAGTAGGTCAGTGCGGCCCCAGGACTGGGAAGGAGTGGTCAGCCTGTTGCCCAATGTTGCCCAATGAGGGGTGAAGGCCTTGGGGTCCAGGGTGGAAGAGAAGGAAAAGATAGTTCGCGGAGTAGGTGCTACTGGCAAGGGTCAGAACAAGTCCCCTGCGGGATGATGGAACTGGAGGTTTGCAAGGGGGGGCCTGATCTGGGCACTGGGGTCCCCCCTTTCATGAAACTGAGTGTCAGATTGCTCAGGTGAATGTTAATTCTCTTGTGTAGCAACATAGAATGGAAGAGTATGAGAAGGGTCTTGAAGAACAGGTGCTGAGGTGAAGGAGAAAATTCTCTGAGGTGGCATCATTGAAGCTGAGTGGGACTTAACTAGGTTCTGTTAGAAGTCATAAAGGGCCTCTGAGGAGGTGACATCTGAGCAGTGACCCTCGTGTTGTGGTCATTGCACTCGTCACTTGTCACGTGGTCATTTAAATTACTTAAATGAGATAAAATCGAAAAGAATGCAGCTCCTTAGGCACCCAAACCGTCTGAGGGTTCAGTGGCTGCCTGTCATAGGCTCATATAGCACATGTGGCCTGTAGTTCCTTTATAGACTGTGCAAATAGAGAACCGTCTGTCCACTTCCAGGAAGTTCTTTGAAACAGCTCTGCTTCAGATTCTGTTGTGTTTCCTGCCCACCCTCACCTCTGTTTTGACGTTCCACGTCCTAAACTGGTCATTTGCTCCACCCTTCAGTCTCCTCTTTCTCCAGTTTCTTTCTCTTTGTGTTTTTAGCCCCCTCTTGAGATGATTTCTGGTCTCTTTCTACCATGTTGTGAAAACTTACCAAAATATCACCATCAGGACAGAGTTTTGTGGTTGGGACTCACCTGTGTTCAAGCTCAGATTTCATGAGCACCAATTGTGTGACTTTGAATGGGTTCGTTGACACTTGTGTGCCTCATACAAGTGATTGTGTTTGCCTCCTGGGCTGTGAAGCTTGATGAAATTGTGCCATATGCCAGCACAGAGGCCAGTGTGTTGTGGCTCTTTGGTAAATGCACAATTAGCATCTTCCCTCCTTGCTGACCGCCGTCCTCCTCTCTCCCCAGTGTGAAGCCATTCTCACAGACCCCGTTCTCCTTGTCACTGACTCCCCCATCCACTGACCTCCCAGGTAAGAGTGTTCTCTACCTCCTCCTGCCTCTCCCTCTCCACCACCTTTCCTTAAACTTTCTGTTAACAGGACACGTGTTCTTAATGAATTCAAGCTCTGTGGTAGAGCATGTAGGGGCAGAGAAAGATGAGTGGATTTATGTTCTACCACTTGCTGGCCTATTGGACCATGGAGGAGGTGTGTCAGTCAAGATTTCTTCAGCTGCAAATCACACATCCAGTTAGATGACACGAAGGGGGATGTATTGCCTCAGGCAGCCGATCATTCAGTTGTGATGGCTTCAGGAATGCCTGGATCTAGGGCCTTGAAATGGTAGCAACAGGACTTGCTTAGCTCTGCTTTCTTCTGGGGGTGGTTTCATTCCCAGGCAGGCTCTGCCCACCTGGAAGCAAAAATAGTTCCCAGAAGTACCTGCTGTGTGGGCCTAAGAACTCAACAGTGGTGGAAGAGCACCTTTAGTTTCCATGGATTCATAGATTTGGAATGCTTTTGGCTGCAAGTTACAGAAGACCCAAGTTAGTCACGCTTTAAATAACATAGGCTTTAATGATTCCATATAACCAACATTCTGAAGGTGGGCTGTACCTGCAGGTGGTGCAGCAGCTCAGCAGTACTGGAACTGGCACCTCTATGGGTCTCTCGGCCTCTCTCTTACTGTCCTAAGATGGCTGTTATGACTCCAAACATCACGTCCCAAGCAGGACTTGGCCAGGGCCAAAGCTTTCTCCTCCCAAAGTTCTGTCTTTTTCATTCAGGAAGAAACTCCTTCCCAGAAGCCCCCCAGCAGATTTTCCCTAACGTCTCATTGGCCAGAACTGTGTCACATGGCCACCTCTAGCTGCAAGGGAGGCTGGGAAAGTGAGTATTTAGCTTTTTCAGCTTCTAAGTAGAGGCAGGCAAGAGAAGACAGTGCTTGATATAGTCGATAAATGTTACCAATTTTTATTGTTCTTTCTTCTTTCTCTCTAGGGTATGAGCCCCCCCAAGCCCTCTCTCCTCCTGCCCTGCCCCCACCTGCCCCATCACCCCCGGGCTGGCAGGCTCGGGCCCTGGGCACTGCCCGGTTGCAGCTGGTGGAGTTCTCAGCTTTTGTGGAACCTCCTGATGCAGTTGATTCTGTGAGTGCAATTATGCCATTGTCACTGGGCAGGATTGGAAAGTCGAGGGTTGCAGAAAGGGACAGCATGAAGCTGTGCTTGTCAAACCAGCATGTATCTGAATAATAAGGAGAGCTGGCCCTACCTCCAGAATTTCTGATTCAGTGAGTCTGCTGCAGGGCCTGAGAATTTGCATGTCTAACAAGCACCCCGTTGATGTCAGTGCTTCTGGCCCCTGAACCACACTTTGAGAACTACTGGCTTAAAGAAACTGGACGATCATGAGCTCCTAGTTTGGGAAGGCCAGAGGGATGTTCATTCATCCTACATTATGGAGTGCCTACTCTGCACCAGGATTTTGGCAAATATTGGGGACCTGGAAAAGCAAATCTTGTTTCTAGATTCAAGTTTTTCCTGGCCTAGGATGGAGACAGATACCGATTTTGGGTGAACTGACTGTTAAAAGCCATGACTGAACACCATAGAAGTTTCGCACACAGCGACGTAGGCAAACCAGGTTCCTTCCATTTTGTGAGACTGCCATTTTCTAGGGCTTCCGAATCTGCTGCCGGGTTCTCTGCATCTGCGCAGCAGATGGTGGAAGGGCAACAGGCAAGAATTGTGCAGGCGGTTTTATGGGTCTGGCTTTGAAGAGGCAGGGATCAGATCTGTTCATATCCCATTGGCCAGAGCATAGTCATGTGACCATACCTAACCGCAAAGGAGCCTGGGAAATGTAGTTTGGCCGGTGAAAATGCATGTGGGTGGGTCTGTGAACACAAAGCAGTCTCTGCTTTAGTGCCACAAGCAACTGTTTCTGCCTATGGTGGTTCTGGTAAAATCCAACTCAGACCAGAACAAAATGCACCTGCCGTAGTGGAGCAAACGCCGCGGTCCCTCACTTGCCTGCCGGGCTCTGTGGTCTGTCCAGCTGTCTGCACACCCCCCCCCCCCTCCTGCCGCCCTCTTGCGGGTGCTCACTGCCCCAGCCATGCTGGCCTGCTTGTTCTTCTTAAACACACCAGGATCGCACCTGCCTCGGGACCCTAGCACCTCCTGGTCCTGCTTCCCCCGGAGAGCCACAGCGTTTTATTTAGGCTTTTGCTTGAGCATCTGCTCAAATATGTTTTCCAAATCACCTTATAGAATGTACTGCTGATGTCAACTCTCAGCCTCCTTACTGTGCTTTAAGCTGCTACTGCTGCTTTCCCTCACTTTATTAAGCCTTTTTCATAGCATATATCACCCTGAAATTTATATTATCTATGGGTTGGTTTTTAAAATTTTCTGTCTCTGCCAGCAGACTTTAAGCTCCATGATGTGAGGGACTTTGCTTTTATCCCCGGGGCCAGAATAGTGCTCTTGCTAGATGTCCTGAGTAATAGTCATCGTATGCTGGGACAGGAGAAGTTCGAGTTTTTGTGGGTATATGGAGGAGAAATTCTACCTGAGGAGTCAGTGAAGGCTTCCCTGGCATGACAACATTTGAGTTGGGCTTTGAGGGTTACCTAGGAGTTTGCATGTATAGAAATGGATGTTCCAAGGACAGAGATGGGGACGGCACGCTTTCAGAGAAACTAAATAGGGTGGGAGCTGGTGAGGCTGCAGATAGGTGGAGCAGTGCCAGTTCTGGAGTTGGTATTATCAAGCTGAGGGATCCTCACTCCTGAGAGTGATGGGCAACCATGGAAAAGGTGGGGAAGAGACTCCACCCGACTGCCATCAAGAGAGACTTCCTGACAGAGGCAGATTTGGGCTTGGAAAGATGGAGGGTTTATACTGGAAGAGACGATAGGGAAGGCTTTCAGGACAAGAAGCAGTGAGAATGGGGACAGGTAGGGAATTTCGATACCGGCTATGTGGGTTCCTACCCATCCACCCCTTTATTCTTTCCTGCCTCTCTCCCTCTCTCCTTCTCTCCTTCCTTCAGTTCCTCCTCCCTCTCCCCACTGGTCGAATATTCGTGAATGTTCAATATGGGGCCAGCCATGGGAGGAGGGCGAGCAGGGGAGGGCCAGGGAGCCAGGTGAGGAATGAACCCAGAGATGGGAGGCTGGGTAGCCAGAGTGGAGGTTGGGGGAGGGTGGGGGACAGGGGGGAGCAAGAGGGACAGATGTGGGGACTGAGATGGCCCCGTGGGGCAGAAGGGAGTGGGGCAGTGCCTGAGGTGGGGTGGACAGGGTGGGCCAGCCTGCTGAGGGGTGGCATGAGGATGTGGGATGGGCTTGGACACAAGGGCTGCGAGCCTGGCGCCCTCCCTCCTCACGCCCTGCCCATCCTCCTCAGTACCAGAGGCACCTGTTCGTACACATCAGCCAGCACTGCCCCAGCCCTGGCGCACCCCCTCTCGAGAGCGTCGATGTCCGGCAGATCTATGACAAGTTCCCAGAGAAGAAGGGCGGCCTGCGGGAGCTGTATGACCGTGGGCCCCCTCACGCCTTCTTCCTGGTCAAGTTCTGGGTGAGTTCCACTGCCAAAACCCAATGCGTTTATACATCTCTAGACCTAGGCCTGACAAGTCCTTGCCAGGTGTGTGACCGAGATGACCCTGGTATGGGGGGTTGGCGGGTGGCTATTCAGTTACTTCTGTATCATCAACCCACACTAATCTCTGTGGGGATTGCCCCGCCCCCTTCCTTCTAGCAAAGGGTGTCATGGAGAGTTTGGTCTGTAGGTCCTACCACAGTCTGCTGCTAGAGAGCATCTGACCTTGAGGAAGTGGTTGAAGGAGCTGGGAGTGACTTTGTAAAGTTCTGTATTTATTGAACAATCATTTATTATGCACTTGCTATGTGCAGGTCTCCTACCATGTAACTCAGAGGCCACACTGGATCTTTCTTTTTTTTTTAGATTTATTTATTTATGCATACAGAACTGGGGTGCAGGCCAGAGGTGCAGGAGTGGTGAGAGGCTTCACCAGAGACAGAGTGGGGAGCAGAACAGGCAGATCATTGAAGTACACTGCTGAGGGGAGCAGCAGGCATGTCAGGAGCTGTGTGCTGTGCCCTGTGGGTCACCTCCAGGGCGGGGGATCAAACCCACACTGAAGCAGCTGTGGCCAGCTTGCAGTGCTGCGTCTTAAATCTTAGCGCCACCAGGGAGGGCCCCATACTGGATCTTTCTAAGGCTGTTGAGTTTGCTATCCAGGATAATGACATGCTACAGGGGTTCAGTGGAATATTTGTGAGTATTTAGGGGGGTTAACTCTGGTAGTAGCCAGGGCTGGTGGAGTTGCTAATCTGAGAGGGGCTTGAAGTTCATTGACCTTCCTAGGTCTGAGGCCGCCATGGTTGTGGTGGTGAAGAAGGGCCTAGCCTGCTCTGGGAATGTGCTGCTGAGGTCCTTGGTATTGTCAAGCTTAAGACAGGCCTTTCCAGATCCTGGGCCCAGAGGGAGGAGACCCTCCAGAAGCCCATCCTCTGAGCAGATACAGGGACATGGCCAGTTTGACGTCATAAGACCCAGTCGGCGGGTGGAAGCAGGGTTAGGCCTTTGGCAAGAGGCCTGCACCACCCCGGAGAGTAACCTGGCCAAGTGAGCAGCTAAAGTTAGCAAGAGGGGCCTCCCTGGCGGCCCAGCGGCTTAGAGCAAAGACTATGAAGCCGGCCATGAGTTTGATCCCCACCCAGGGAGTGACCCACAGGGCGCAGCAGACTTCTGTCTCCCTGCTGCTCTCCTTAGCAGTGTATTTCAAGATCTGCCTGTTCTGCTCCCCACTCTGTCTCTGGTGAATCCTTTCACCCCCCCCCACACCTCTGGCCTGCACCCCAGTTCTTGTACACAGAAATAAATATACTTTAAAAAAAAAAAAAAAGCCGGCAAGGCAAAGAGCACTACCTCCCCGTGGTCAGGCCAAAGATGGCGAGGTCCTAGGCTTCCTGGGGCCCCGTTTTACCCGATGGTCTTCCCACCGGGTCTGGGATCATGGAGGGCGCTGTCCTGCGAGAATCAGCCGAAAGGCCTCAGGAGAACATTCTGGAGAGGAGTCAGGTTTCCCAGAGCCCCAGGTCCATTGCCAGCCTGGGGATGCATACGGCTTCCTGAGGCTCTCCAGGGGGAGACTCTTGAGTTGGGCGCTTCAGGGAAGAAACTGAAACTCCAGGGTTCTTTCGGTGGAGGATCTACTGGGGAGAGGGTCAGGGCCATCTTGGGGACCTAGGCCGAGTCAGACTCAAAGGGCTCTGATGGATGATGGAGGAGTTTGCAGGGCCAGAGTACCAGAGGCCACACTCGGGTTGTGAAGTCTTGCGTTCAGGGCGCAGAGGGATTAGGGGTCTCCTGGGCCCCAGACCCATCAGTGTTGAAAGGGGGGCCCTTCTACAGAGTCTGGCCCTTGGGGGGGGCAAAGCAGGGCGCTGGGGCTGGGGCAAGGAGCCTCTGGGCAGAGTAGATGCCGTCCTCGCTCTCGGGCTGTGGGGTGCCCCCTGCTTACCTGTGCTCCCCTCCACCAGGCCGACCTAAACTGGGGCCCTAGTGCTGACGAAGTGGGGGCCAGCGGCGGCGGCAGCAGCGGCAGCAGCGGTGGCTTCTACGGCGTGAGCAGCCAGTACGAGAGTCTGGAGCACATGACCCTCACCTGCTCCTCCAAGATCTGCTCCTTTGGCAAGCAGGTGGTGGAGAAGGTGGAGGTGAGGCTGGGGGGCGGAGCTCTGGGCGGGTCAGCGCCCGCCACCTGCCGTTTCAGATCAGGAGCCAAGACAGGCATTTGGGGGTGCTGCCTGGGAGGGTGGGGCGGTGTCCTGGCCAGGGGGCTAATGCGTGGGCTTAGGGCTGAGGTCACTTGGGGGCTCTCTTGACCAGGCCAAAGACAAGCAGGTGGAGACAGGAAGATTCCAAAACCTCTGTGTATAGCAGGGAGTTTGCTGGACCGGGAGTGGGCTCAGGGGTTCCCGAGGACCCTGAATTTGGAGAACTCATTCACGGAGGGGTCTGTGGAGGGCCTGAAGGTTCTGAGGCCCTGGAGTTTTCGGAGCATGGCTTGGTCAGCCCGGGAGGGTCCCTGGCTTGCAGGCTCAGTGCATCTGTGTTCGTTGGTTCCGAGGGTTCAGGGTTTAGGGTCTCGTCTCTGGTCACTGCAGATGGGGCAGTGGCGAGTGGGTCCGAGAGGAGGGGAGCGGGCTCCCTCTTGGGTGCCGTCTCAGCCCCGTTCTCCCTGCCCGGTCAGACTGAGCGTGCCCAGCTGGAGGATGGGCGCTTCGTGTACCGCCTGCTGCGCTCACCCATGTGTGAGTACCTGGTGAACTTCCTGCACAAGCTGCGGCAGCTGCCCGAGCGCTACATGATGAACAGCGTCCTGGAGAACTTCACCATCCTGCAGGTGACGCTCTGGGCTCCCCCAACCCGGCCCTCGGCTGAGTCCCTTTCGCCTGGGAACCGGGCCCGTGGGGCCCTGAATTTGGGGCCCTGAATTTGACCGCTAGCTTAGGGGACTGACAACTGATCTGGAGGACACTCCAGTGCACCCCCTGCATGGCAACAGGGACCTGTGTAAGCAGGGTACTTGATAGGATGGGATCCCCTTTAACTTTGGGGGAGTGCCGAGGCAGGGGTCCCCTCGATCCTTGCAGCATCTGATGTGAGGATGCGCTGGGCGTCCCGTCCCCCCGGGGTGTGACAGCCGGGCCCTTTGCTGGATCCGCTGGGGTACCTTGGGGCGGGCCGGCGCACCCTGCTCTCCCTCCCCGGGATGAGCCCCTCTCCGTGCTTGGCAGGTGGTGACCAACAGAGACACCCAGGAGCTGCTGCTGTGCACCGCCTACGTCTTCGAGGTCTCCACCAGTGAGCGGGGGGCTCAGCACCATATTTACCGGCTGGTCAGGGACTGAAGGGGCACCCCAGAACTGGCTCACCCCTGGAACACCCTCCTCCCTTGGAAGAACTTCCAGCTCGTCATGCTTCTTATTTGGGGAGGGGGCTGTGGTGAAGGGGGGCTGAGAGAAGGGCCGCCAGACCTCACCGAGTGTCTGGAAGGACAGCTCACCTGAGAGCATCGCAGATGGGGGCCCGGAATGAGACACCCCGAGGCTCAGCAAAGGGCCTCTCAGGCTCCTGTGGGTGCCCACTTTGTTCTGGGTGTTTTGGGGACTGTTATACATCAGCTCATGCCCGCCCCTGGTTTTTCAGCTCCTCCTTCCTATCCTGTCTCCTTACCATCTTCCCCCACCTCCATCTGTGACCCTGGTATTGAAGGTTATTAACCCTTTCTGTGCAGGACAGAGCCAGGTGGGCCCTGGAAATATTTTTTTTAATATAACAAAGAGGTATTTATAAGTGGGTGTGAGGGTGTGCCTTTCTCAGCGGCGAGGCCCGGCCACCTCGACTCTTCTCCCAGCCGTGGCTAGAAGTTGCCTCCCTCTCCCTCCCACAGAATGTTGTTTGTGTTCTGACAGAGGATAAAGCTATTTTACCAAAACGCAGGGGATTTATTTGAGCTCTGGTTGGGGAAATCACCTTGTGGGAGGTAGCAGGGGACAGATAAGGCAAAGAAATGAGGTTATCTGGGGGGGGGGGGCAGGAAACTGGTGGCCGGAAGCCCCAGGTCCTGTGGGAGACAGGACGCCACCAGCGGCAGACACCTGGGTTCCCAGGGGAGGGAGGAGGCAGAGGGCTAAGGCTAGGGGCCAAGTGGATATAAAGTGGATATAAACAATATTTACAGGTGGAGGCCAAGTGCTGGAGGGCCGGGCAGGGCAGGGCAGGGGCTGCGTGGGGCAGGGTTGGCGTGGGGGAGGGGAGGCCTAGCGGTACCGCACGAGGTGGTCGTGGACCTGGTCCAGGTTTCTGCACAGGAATATCGACAGCGTCATGAAGCTGAGCTACAGAGAGAGAGATGCGGTCAGAGAGGGTGAGGGGAGGCTGCTGGTAGCGACCTCTATCTGCATGGACCCAGCCACCGTGCCAGGATGCCCCCCCACAAAGGTGGGGGTGGACATGGAGGGGGAGGAGGTCGACATGGGCGGGGCTGGATCTCTTGGGGGTGAGGGGGGAAATGGAGCCAGAAACTGGGTTTGGTGGCCAGGGACGGTAGTCTGGGGGCCCAATAAGGGAGGTGGAGATGTGATGGAGTTCAAGGCAGGTGGGCAGGAGGGCAGTGTAGGGCGGGCCAGACTGGAGAAGCTGGAGCATTAGGGGGAACCCAAGTGCCTGCAGCGCCTGCCTAGAATTTGGGAAAGAGTGCCATCCGGAGCAAGCGCGGGGTGCTTTATTACGGAGGCGCATCTGTCTCCCCCTCCGTCTCGGCTTCTACTTCTGTCTCGCCTTCTAATTCCACTTGGACCTCCATCTCTGCGCCCATGCTTCGGGCCTCAAGTGGTTGTTGCTCGTCTTGATCCCAAAGTGTCCAGGGCCCCAGGGCCATGGGCAGCTTACCCTGCGGGGCCTTGTCTCCCCAGTTCGGGCAGGCATCCGCCACGCCCCAGCCACCCCACAGACTGCCGCTACGCCCACTGCTGCTCTGCGCACCGTATCGCCCGGTGCCGCCATCAGCGCTCGGGCCAGGCCCGGGGCTCGAACCGTCGGCGCCCGGGGCCTGCGGCTGGGGTTCCCGGTAGAGGGCGCTGCGCGGTAGTAGCAGGCTCAGCACCACCACACTCACCTGCGGGGGGGCGGGGGGTGGAGAGTGGGGACGTTGCGGCGAATAACAGTAGCCCGCTCCGCCAGAAAGGGCCAGTGGGAGCCTCACGGGGAAGGGCGGTAACGCCTGTTTCCCGGGTGCCACCAGTCAGGGCCCCGGGGGTCAGCGGGCCGGGAGTGGCGGGCGCCCTAGGGTGTGCGCTTTCGCAGACCGGGAATGCATGCAATTTGGGGCGAGGCCATCTCGGGGTAGGAGGCCAGTGGCGAGTGGGGCCGGGGCCAGATTCACCTCGAGAAGACCGACTCCCAGACAGATGCCCACAATGGAGATGAGGTTGTCGTGCAACCACTTGTGCAGACTGCGCGCACAGCCCTGGGGGTATGGGAGAGATGAAGGTAGGGTTCGTCCTGGGGTTTGCCTGCCCGCCGGGCCAACCATTTTCAGCCCAGCCCTCGTCCCTTTCAGGCACCGCCCCGCTTCCCCAGTTCTTTGGGTTCTCTGTTCTCCGGGCTTCATCCACCCCAAACTTGCGCAACCCTTAGCGTCAATATCACAAGTCCCTCTCTTACACGCGCCCCCCATTACAGACTCCGCCCCTCCATTCATTCTTTCCCTGGCCCCGCCTCTACGTACAGACCACGCCCCTGGGCGGGTCTAACCCCTCGCGGGCTCCTCCCCTTTGTAGCGGCTCAGCTTGCCAACCTCGGAGTAGACGTGGCTGTTAGCCCCCAGCAGGCAAAGGTCGGAGCTGTGTTGGGGCCCCGCCAGTGGTCGCAACCGGTTGAGCTGGGGAAAGGAGATCTTGTCGAAGAGCGTGGAGTCGTTGGTCCCCGATGAGTTATAGCAGGAGCAGGGCACGCGGTGCACTTCCGACTCGTTGCTGCTGGGGGTTGACATCTGGTGCCAGTCCTGAGGAGAGTTCCAGCCGCAGCAGCGCAGCTGGGAGAGGGACACGCGTCAGGCGACAGGGACTGGAGGGCTGTAAGATGATGGGCAGCGTGGCACTGCGTAACGGCCATATTGGGGAGTAAGGGCTATATTGGGGACTTTGGCTGGGCTGGTGTCCCGGACAGGGTCAGGGACGATAGGGGAATCCCTGGTAGAGAGATGAATCACAAATCCCTCGGTTCTGGACCTAGGGAAAATCACATCATGGACGGGAGACTGGGCAGGGCAGTTCAGCCTGGGGGGGGGCAGGCAAATGACCAGGGAGCAGAGACTCACATGGGCCAGGTCTCCTGGGGTAAGGGGGGGGGCACACAAGAGCCGAAGTCTCGAAGGCTTGTCGAGGTGGTGGGTAGGACCACTCCCAGGGTCTGGGAGCAGAGGGAATGGCCCCAAAGTAAGGGGGGGCTATGTCATCCTGGCAGGACGTGGAGCAGGTGGGTAAGGTTTTATCAGGGTCCTGGAGCTGTGAGTTTCATCTGGTGGGGTGGGGTCTCCTTAAGGTAGGGGTGAAGCCATCCATGGTCCCAGAGTAGAGGGAGAGGCACACTCTGGGGGCAACTGGCATCTCACGTACCTGGAACTGCACATAGTCCCAACTCTCTTCCGCCTCGGTGTCCTCTGGGTTGGCGTGGTAGTTCTGGATCGTCTCCATCACGATGTCCTTCACCTTGCGCTCCAGCTGAGAGCCCGAAAGTAAAGCCAGACCCGGCCCCCCCACTCCCCCATTTGCCCCAAGCACTGCAGCTGCTCCGGCCTGTCTCAGCCCAAAGGGGCCCATTTGGGCATCTTTGTGTCAGCCTCGGATCTCTGCTGAGTGACTGTAGCTGTTTCTCAACTTCGGTCACTCTGCCAGTTTCTGCCATAGACCTTTGTGTTTCCCCGACTGTCTCTCATGTGGTCTCTATCTTTTGCTCAAAGACTTTTGCTGCTTTTCCGCCCCCTTTCTGCTGGTTTGGCCTCTCTTGGGCTCTTCCACCAGGTGTATCTTCACCTGCCTCCGCCTGCTCGGTGTCTCTGCCACGTCTGTGTGTTTTTCTGTCTTTCTCTGTCTCTCTTTGTTATTCCTCTGTGTCTAGGACAGCTCCCCTCTGCCCACACATCTGCCCTCTCCTTTCCACGTCCTTCCCAGCCCCCACCATGCCTAAGCACCAGCTTGGGGCCAGGAGATTTGGTGAGAAGGGGGTGGGGGAGAGAGCAGAGGAAGCTCACCAGGACCCGCTGAGTGGAGATGAGAATTCCCAGGGTGATCTCTGTGGCGAACAGGAGCAGCAGTATCCCAAAATACTGGGGGGCAGAGTGGAGAGGAGAGACTGAGCCCCTCCCCAGGATGTGGGGCAGCTGCCAGGGCCTTATTTGAGGGGCAGGAGGACGGGAGTGATGCTAGGAATGGAGTGGAGGGCAGGGCACTCACCAGGCCCAGGAGACAGTGCAGCTCCTTGAGGGCCCCGACACAGCCCAGGAGCGCCAGGCCCATGGTGAGGAAGCCCGCGATGGCCAGGACCTTGGACCAGATCTGCAGGGGCATGAAGGACAAGCCTGGGGGAGGCGAGAGGCAGGGACATTGGGTCCCATGAGCATAGCTCCAGGCGACCCATTTCCCCACCCACACAGCCACCCCGTTTCCTGGGTGCTCTTTCTGGCACCCCTTTCCCCAGGTCTCCACCCCTCTTCTGAGATTCTCTCTTTTCTCTGAATCTCCGTCTCCCTGAGTCTCTGCTCCTGCCTCTCCCCGGGTCTCTGTGCCCCTTCCTGGATCTCGGTCCCTCTCCCCCACATCCCTCCCTTAGCCCCTCGTTGTCGTTGTCTCCCCCTCTTGCTCTCTCCCCTGCAGCTCCTCCTCACTCCCCGGGGAGCTCCCCATGCAGCTTCAGCTGCACGACACCCGCCACTTAACCTCCCTGAGGTCCAGGAGCTGATGGTGCTATTTCCTAAGGTGGCTTTGAGAGGCACCCAGGAGGCACCCAGTCCTCAAGTATATTGTTATTCAGCTCTACTTCCTGCCTGTGCAACATCCAGTAAATGACTTCCCCTGCTTTGGACCTTAAAGGAGGCGAAGGTGTGTGCGAGGTTCTGATAAATACCCGTAGAGGATCTGACCCCCGGGGGCTCTGGGCAACGGTCACTGTTTTTACTGATACTGGCCTTGGCCAGAGGGGGACGCTGAGCTCAGGCTCAGCCGGCAGGATCAGCGGCCATTGGCGGTGGTCACTGGTGGAGCAGAGCCCGTGCCTGCCTGGGGTGTGGCACGGCGGGCCTCCCTGAGATGTGGGAGACCCCAGGAGACCACCGGGTGGCGGCCTGGTCCACACCTGCTCCAGGAAGGCCCTCCCCGGCTGGCCCAGCCCCCTCACCCACAAAGGACACAAAGCTGGTCTTGTCGACAAGTATCCAGATGCCGAAGCAGAAAATCAGACTGCCCAGGACCTGGGGAGAGAGGAGGGTGTGGCGGTGGGTACCGGGGGGACATGAGGTCCCGGCTGGGGCTGCGGCTGGGGCTGGGCCCGGGCTGGGTACACCTGAGGGGACTCACAAAGAAGAAGAGGTTGAAAACGAAGAGGAGGTACTTGATGAGGCTGAGACAGCTGGCCTGGGCCGACATCTTCATCTGGACGGATCAGCGACCAGTGGGAGGGAGGACAGAAGAGATGTTGGCAGTGGGGAAGACAGAAAGAGGCCTTGAGAGAGGGAGAGAAGGAGGGAGAAAGGAAGAGCACAAAGAGGAAGTTCCAGGGTGGAGCCCCACCCCTCACTGACACCCCGTGGCTTCCTTCTTGGTCTCAGTCTTTGTCACCCGCCCCCTGGGACACACAGAGGTACCTGAGGGGCCTTGGAGTGTGTGGGGGCCATCGACACGCTGGGTAGCTCCTCCCAGGGCTCCATGGCTCAGGCTGGGGGGCCCACAGAGACTCTGCTGGCACGGCCTACCTGGGGCACCAGGACCCCAGGCGGCCATGGGCAGCGGCCACCGACCTCACAGATGCTCTGACCTCACTGACTGCTAACCTGACACCTGCCGCCTCTGCATCCCCCTCTGCGCCCCCTCCCCAGAGCCGGGGCTCGCATCCCCTCTCTGGCTCTCTGTCCCCTTCTCTCGGGCTCTCTACTCCCCTCCCCATCTCCATCCTCTCCCTCCTGTCTCCCAACTGACTGCCTGTGTTTTCTCGCTTTACCCCCCTCTGAGAGTCTGAGTCTGTCTCTGACGCTGTCCTCAGCGGCAGGTATGAACGGGCATCCCACACGCTGGGCCAGGGACTGTGCCCTGAGGAAGTGAAAGGGGCACAGGCCCCCAGTGGGAAGGTCCCTGGGAGCTGGGGGCAGCCAGGCGGAAGCCAGGCCTCAGGCAGCACTTCCCCTCGCTGAGATGGGAGGAGGGGCGCAAGGGGGAACCAGGGTGGAGTGTGGACCCCGACTTGCTTTGCTTGATCATCTGTGGCCAGAGCTGCGCCTCCAGCAACCTTGGAAGTTGCGCCCCATGCCTTGAGGGCTCGCCTCTCTTGGCAGTTTCCAAGTTCCTGACTTAGGGGACTGTCCTACCATCCTAACATCCATGCCGCCCCAGGAGAGCCAGCCCCCATTAGAGACCCAGCACCCTGTCTCCTGAGAGCAGACACTCGCCCATTTTTTTTTCAGAGCTTCCAAATGCAAGTCGTTTTCCAGTTAATGTCATCAGAACTCAATTCATATTACTGGATGTCTGATTCTCATGCTGGGCTTTCTTGCCTCCATCTTCATGATGGAATAATTGACATATAATTACATGTATTTACATGTGATGATCTGATAGCCTCATAGTGCTGTGACTTAACCCCATGTGCCACCAGGGAGGCCCCACATAAGAAATTTTAATGCAAAAAATTGCAAAAATTAGGGCCTCCCTGGGGTTGAGTCTCAGCGCTCCCACCCCTACAGCACGGGTGCTGTTCTGGCCAGGGAGTGACCTCTCCTGTCCCCCCGCGGCTCCCCTCAGAGGCTCCCCTTATGATTTATGATGAGATTTTTTTTTTAAGATTTATTTATTTGTGCATACAGAACTGGGGTACAGGCCAGAGGCTCAGGGGCGGTGAGAGGCTTCACCAGAGACAGAGTG